GGAGGGGGGAAGGATGGGGTAGATCTTGACTTGTTCTGACATTTAAAAAGTGATCTTGGGCATAGAAAGGTTGGAGACTACTGCTCTATAGGCTCTGCTTACAAAAACTCCCCAGAGTCACAGATTCATGGACTCTGAGGGGAGGAAAAAAAGCAAAAACTGCCACCATCAAGTGATTTAACCCTGAAAAAACAAGAGGGAACACTTGAATTTCTTCCCCAGCGATACCCCAAGTTCTTTTGCCCAAAGACAACTTGAAAAAGAAAAGAGAAAACAAGCTGCAGTCTCTCGTAGCTGACTGCTCAGTCTTAGGCATGCAGACACACACATAGACCTCCTGTTTCCTTCCAGGACACAAGAATCAAAGCATTGCCTTAAAAAGGGTGTTTTTTATTAATAAAACAGAGATATGCTTGATAAACAACTGAGCAACTGAGTCAAACAAATTAAAACACAGAGAACATCTCTTAGATAGTGAATGGGAGAGAGGAGGCATAGGTTCACACTAGGGATGTTAAAATTAGATTAATCAATTATTTGATTAGTCGATAAAGGCTATTCAGCTCTGAAATGTAGCAAGAGCCCACCTGGCTGTTGCTATGTTTCAAAGGCACAAGTGCTGCTCAGCTTTCTGCCTTTGAAATATACAGTGCTCTCGTGCGTTTCAAAAACTGAAACACTGCTTGGAACCTGGGGTCAGTGGTAGACTCTGAGTCTCCCACTGGCCCCAAGCTCCATGCAGCGCTTCTGCTTTGAAATGTACTGGAGCCCTAGCAGGGAGACTGGTACGTTTTAAAGGTGGAACGCTGCTACTGAACTCCTGCCCTCTCAGGGAGCTGGAGCTGGGGGAAACCAGCTTTTAAGTTTAACCCCTTAGTCACTATGTGCTGGCCAGTGCTACTCTTATCTATTACACCACCAATTACTTCTTATAAGTGGGTCTCGCCAAATCAGCTGAAATCTACTCGCCACAGGCAAGTCGATACGCGGGTCGCCCCGTTCACTGGTGGCACGTGCATGCGCAGTGCAGGGCTGGCGAATGGATTTCACCGTGGTTTGTCGAGCCCTGCTTAAAAGCATTATAATAGTCAATTTTTATGGCTTCTTCTTGTGACTTTTTTCCTCAACCATAGTATGAGAGCACCTAGTTAGAGGATAAAAACAGTAATAGAAGTCATAACAAAAATAAAAACAGTAGAAATACAGGCAGTCCCCGGGTTACATGGATCCGACTTACATCAGATCCCTACTTACAAACGGGGTGAGGCAACCCCGCACTAGCTGCTTCCCCCCAGCCGACCAGGGAGACGCGAAGCTAGTGCCCTCCCCCCCCCAGCAGACCAGGGAGACACGGAGCAGCTTTTCTCAGCAGACACCTCAGCTTGAGAATAAAGGACTGAGTGAAGTGAGGTGTGGGAGAATAAAACTGAGATCTGGAGAAATGTTTGGCTAGAGTTTCCCCTACAATATGTACCAGTTCCGACTTACATACAAATTCAACTTAAGAACAAACCTACAGTCCCTATCTTGTACATAACCCGGGGACTGCCTGTATTACCAATACATGTTGTTAATGTTAAAATACAGCTTTTAAAATTTAATTTTAAGTTAATGTTCATACTGTACCATATCGTTTACTAAATTTACACCCATGAGTTGGAGAACATGAAATCTGATCTCCCCCATGAAATCTATATTAAGGATGGTTAAATTGCAGTTATCTGGTAAATCATGTAGTCGACACAAATTGTATCGACTACGCAATTAGTTGATAAGGGCCACTCTGCAAGGCCACAGCAGGGCTAACTCCCAGAGCCAGCTTGAGCTGGGACTGAGCAGTCCAAGTTTGTGCCAGCTCCACGAGCCACCCACGCAGCAGCTCTGCAATTTAAATGGAGTAAGAACTGTCAGGCTTTTACTAAATTGAAAATGCAGAGGCTCAGCATTCCGGACCAACGTGAGCCAGGACTGCCCGGTCCCGGCTTGCGCAAAGTTTAGCAGCCCCTGTTCACATCAGCCTCCCCCTAACATCCTCACCCCCCTGCCAGTATCAGAAGCAGCAGCGGGGTGGGTGAGCGGCACTGTAGAGACAGAAGCAGCAAGAGGTGGGGGAGCAAGTAGTTGATTACTCTCCCAACATCTCTAATCTATACAGCAAATACACAAAAGACTAGATGTCAGGGAGAAGACAAGCATTTATCAAATTGGCTGTTGTGATCCAAAAGGGATTGCATGAGGATTGTGATAAAGTTATTTTGGGGAGGGGGGTCAAGGTACAAAGGTACTGCTACCTGTACTTCTGTACTGCCTTTAGAGCTAGGTAGTACTGTTCCTGTGTACACTAGGTGAAGCAAAATAATTGATATGACCATGTGTGGTGGGACAGGCATGCCACTAGAGTATAATCCCATTTGAGAGTTGAGATCTGTATTATGCAGCAAGCTTGTGTCACCACTCATGTTCCCAGAATCACAACACTATTTTTTTTAGCACTTTCTGGATTAAGGTTAGCATATGTATATCTACCTGAACGGCAAAGTGCAATTCCTTCACTATAGCTAATGTATCTTTACTGTGTCCAGGATACAGGATTTTTAAAAAAGGACTAGATAATTTTATCTAATTGAAACTGGCTAGGATAAAAGCATTTAGGAAATAGAAGTCCTCATTTTCTAGGGCATAAACTGTCAACTAATTCATTGAGGTTAGGACAAAATTTCACTCCGTGACATGGTACTGCATAATTGTTCACTGTAAAGACTTTACATTTTCCTCTAATGTGTGTAGTGCTGTTAAACTGAATGCTTTGCTAGATGGACTAGTGTTCTGGTCCAGTGTGGACATTATGTATTAGATTATTCTTTGCTATTGGAAAGCCTGTTGGATTGGCCCAGAGAGAGAAATAGTTTATTGGGTTTCTCCTCTCAGACTTTTTTCCTGAATTCCTCCTTCAGAGGGTTGCCATTTACCCAGAAAAAGCTGAGGATTCAGAACCCAAACTCCTCAGACCTCAGGGAATCTGGCAGGGATATACTCATCGAGGCTGTGCCTCTATACTGGCTCTAGATCCCTTCAGAACCATTGTCTGCTCCCTGCGAACATGGTTGACCATGTAATCTGATTTTCTGGTCTATTTTAGGGGAGTAGGATCTCCAGTGATAAGGCGGGGGGGAGGGGTTTCTTTGGTGCTGCCGAGTAGAGGGAAACTACAGATTTGGTAGGAATGGTGCCATGGAGTTGATCAACTTCAGCCCTCCACACGTGGCTATATAAGGAATGAGTCCCCAAAGTTACTACTTCACTACATGTTTAACTTCCTAAATCCGGGACTCTCTGGTCCG